GACCACGGGATGCCAACATCAGCCCCCCGGGACTCAACAGTGACCACGGGATGCCAACATCAGCCCCCTGGGACTCAACAGTGACCACGGGATGCTAATATCAGCCCCCGGGACTCAGCAGTGACCACGGGATGCCAACATCAGCCCCCCAGGACTCAACAGTGACCACAGGATGCCAACATCAGCCCCCCAGGGACTCAACAGTGACCACGGGATGCCAACATCAGCCCCCGGGACTCAGCAGTGACCACGGGATGCCAACATCAGCCCCCTGGGACTCAACAGTGACCACGGGATGCCAACATCAGCCCCCGGGACTCAGCAGTGACCACGGGATGCCAACATCAGTCCCCCGGGACTCAACAGTGACCGTGTTACCTCTCCCAGACAAGGGAGGTATTTGCTCAATCACTCTCTAATTGTAATGGTTAGTTATTAACCAAGTTGAATGCGATGAATTACACTTAATTAAAACCAATTTGGCCCCAGGCTTTGCCCAGTTCACCCGGAGAAAGTTTCTGTTCTGGAAATAATGGCTGTGATTCACAGCTGCTTCCGAGACTGGGGGGCAAGTTGGGGTGGTGGTGGCATGGAACCACTAACCATGGTCTGTGGGGGAAAAAAGCCACTGTCTGTGAGGGCAGGGACAGGGAAAGACTCAACCGAAATGCTCTAAATGGTCCTCACAAGCTGAGTGAGGTGCCCCTGGAGTCCTAGCACCCCACTGTCCAGCACTAGATTTCCAGGACAGCTTGAGCTACACACATGCGATGCAGTCTCAGAAACATGAGGACCGGAATGGAGATCCGTGGTCCAGCACTTGCCTGGCATGCACGAGGCCCGGGGTCAATTCCCAGCACTGCGCATGTGCGGGGAGTGTCCTCCTCAACACTGCAGTGCCCCCAGACCTCTGGGGGACATCACCATCTACCAGGCCCTCTGGGCTACGGGGAACCACAGGACCTCAAGCGTGAAGTGGTCAGATAATGCGAGCACACTTGAATG